ACCATGATAAAAGAAAGGAGTGTAAAATGATTGAATAATAATGAAACATCAACAGATAATGAATACCTTTTAATGGACTGTTTGCCCAATCATGAGCCAGTCTTGAGCCAAACCTGAATGGCTTTGTTGGTTTGAGCAAAAAAAGGCACAAATCCAAATCATTGAGATTAGAGTTGAAGGTTTATTTGTAATTAAGTAATTGTTTCAAGTTGCGGTTAACTTGGTAAAAGTTGAACCCAATATTGTTACTTGTACAGTAATAGATATCTTTTTGGTTTCACTTCAACTAACTTTACCACTAATCAATCAGACTGATTTGGAAAGGTGACTTTGAACATCTTAACTGTGCACAGGTTTTCACACAAACGACTAAACTCTTTCATCCATTTAATTGAAAAGATGACAGATAAACTATGAACCTGAATGGAACAAAAGATGACTGTAATGAGAACCTGATACTTTCAGGTGAATCAAGCTACTGACGGAGAAACAAGAGGAAAACCTAAAGATCAATGAACATTTCTAGTTATCAAGTTTCATTGAAATGGCACAGAAAAAGTTGATTAAAAGTTGAGAAAAGATCGAGAAGGAAACCAAGCAAATAATCATTGTAATTACATCTAACTAGACTTGTTGATGGCAGTGGCTCAATGAGTAAATTATTAGTTCAATTTAAGTTAATAATCAAAATGAAAGGTAAAAGGTTGAAACTTCAATTGAACATTAAATCTGGTTTCCTTATATTCAGTTAATTGTTTAGTTCAATTTCAAGTTCAATATCAAGTGATTTACAAGTTATTACATCAAATACTGTAAATAGTTTTTTGCCTTTATATGTTTACAATTGTAAAGAAACAAGTTGCAACAAAAACAAGTTGATTGTACAATTGGTTGATGATGGAAATATAAAGATCAATTTTGGGTTCAACAAAGAACCCAAAAGTAGAAGAAGGAAAATCTCATTTAAAGCTATTGACCAGAATTCAATTGAATGTTGGCTCTGAAAAAGGAAATATTAAATTCAATTGATAACAATTGACCTTTTCAACAATTAAAAGATCAAATTGCAGCGACGATTTAAACTAAAATTGGTAAAACTCATTATCAAAATTGTTATTGATTGAATTGGATTTCAATGGTTGAAAAAAACGGTTAACCATTTTTGGCCATTTTCGTGATTAATTAATTCATAATTGTTGAACAGAGGAACACACATTTAGACAATTATAAGGCAACAATTGCAAGTTTATTACAACATTTGTTCAACATTTTTGATTATCATGAACTCAGCAGGATAACCCTTAAGGAATATCTTGTATCTCAATTTCACGGAAATAAACTGCCAATTGGTAAGGCCTATTAGAAACAATAATTTTAAGGTTTTCTCATTTCATTCAACATTCACTTTTGTAGAGCAAAGGTTTTGTTGCAAACCTTTGCATTTCAATTTTTCATCCGTTAACTGATCGTTTAAGAGTTAAACACATGTTTAAGGTGAGCCAATTGATTGGGTTTGATTGGAAAAAGCGTTATAATTTAATCTAATTAGATGGATAAATAAGCATATTTGGCAAGTTTATCAATTGGTTTGGATACAATGAAAGGTGAAACAATTTGAACCTACTCAAGTTGCTCATAGCCACTGTATTGAGTCGTTAAAGGTTAAAGGATGAAACCAGGAAATAATCAGTCGCAACAAATCGACAGTTTTTGGGTTCATTTTTTTACGTCGATTCTGTTTTATCCTGATTTTGGATTATAACTGTTTTTTTATAAACAATCAAGTCGACATCAGATTGATGATGACAGGCATAAGGGATTGAAGATAATGATGGTTTGCAAAGGAAAGTGAAAAACAAATAAATTTTTGTTTTTAACTTAAAATTTCGTCTCGTTCAAGTGTAGGAGTCAATTTTTGTGTACATTTTGTTGTTGATAGGAAAGCAATTGTTGCTGTTGTATTGTTATACTTTTTGTTTTCGCGTTTTTTGTTTGTAAAACAACAAGTGAAAGGGAAAGTTACACCCGACGGAACGTTGTATCATCATTATAATCATCCTTTAAGTGACCTGTTAAATGATGATAATGGGATAAGCAGGTTGTTGTGACAACAATTATTACAGGAAAGTAACTTCATCTAAAATAAGTGAAAGTTAGACTAAGATATCAGGGAAAAACAGTTTCAAAGAATGGCAAATGTCGAGGAAAACATCAACATTTCAAATGTACTTTATCGATCATTATTACTCTAGGAATTCAGGTTAGATTTGTCAAGATTTACGATTATGATCAGGGAAGTTTCATTAGAATGCTGTTGATGAATCATGAAGTTCTATTGATTAAAAGTTGAAAACTGTTGGATACAAACTACAAGATTTCAAACAATGAAAACTCAGAAATTTTTGTTTAGAGTTTCAGTGACATCATCGGTTTTCAGAAGATTGATGCGAATTGAAAGCACAAGTGACTGGGTTTGATGTTTTCATGCGATAAAAGGTTTATCTCAACATTTGACAGATCAACTTGGTCAATGTCAGGTGAACATCATTGGGTTATCTTGACAACGACAAATTGTTGGGTTAAAAACCAAGTTTATTCAAATGTTTTTTCATTACTGATCCAATCCTGATAAACTTCATGGAATGCGAGAAAACAGGGAAACAATGAAACATTCTCTATTGTTATTTCCAAGAATATATTCTTATAAGAATAGAACAAATTTTCACAATAAAATCTCAATTACTTGTGAAGAGGAAATTGAATTTTCAACCTTTTCTGCTAATTACTAAACCTTGGTTAAACAAAAGGACGTCTTCAATGCGATCATGCATCTAAATCAACTGTGCATTTGATTGATTGGTGTTAACATTTTTCTCTGATATTTCACTGTAAATATTTTGTCAAGGATTCAATCAATTGAATAGTAAAATTATTGACTTTTGTCCATTTGATGATGGAAACTCTGAAAGCAACTATAATGGGTAATTTGGGTGAATCCATGAAAGTGAAATGGACTTGCAAAAGTTTTCATTTCTCTCATGGAATGCAAAAAATGATATTCAAGGTGATATCACCAGGAAAAAGGATAATAACTAGTCAGAATCGATAGCATGGTCGAGGTGAAAATGGATGCTCAAGGGAAAGGAGGAGACTTTCAGAAAACTTGTAAATTATTTCTTCCTCGAGAAACTTAATGTGAGGTAATGAAATTGAATTAATATGAAGAGAGAAAAGTAAATTCAATTGAATTAATGAACATATTAACATTTTTACATGAAATGAACCAGGTAAAGCCTGAGAGTATTTTTGTAACCATGTAATCAGTGTTGTCTTGGCACTTGCCTTCAATGGATTGAAACAGGCAAACATAATGAGCAGGAAATTTTGTATCAACAAGTGGCAATTGAACAGGTAATATGAAGTTTAAAATGTTTAAGCTCAAAGTACAGTATGATGGCAACAATTTACTCAACAAATTAATCAATTAATAACACCAGTTTTAAGGGGAAACCAGGGAACATTGACTTTCTCTTGGTTCCTTGTTGACTTTTCAGCGAATAATTTATGTTACCAAAATTAAAGGCTAGTGAACCCTTTTCACTCTTTAATTATGATATTGATATTTTAAAGGCAACACTCCTCTTTGATTAAAAACAAATCACAATCATAATCATGTTTTTACAGAGTTTACAATTAGATGCAAATTAAGTACAATTGCTGGTCAGTAATGAATACCGGTTTCATTTCAGACAAAACATAACCATTAACAGCTTTGCCAAGTTTTCATCCAAGGCAACCAGATTCTGGTGTTTTAGTTGGTTAATAAATTGAGCTGAATCAACTGTATTAATGCGTCAATGTTTTATTATTTTATTGTCACAATCATGCAAAATAACTTGAAGGATCAGATTTATTCTGGTGAATTAACTATCAAATCAACTTCAATAATAAAATTATCAACTTTGTTGAAAAAGATTATACTTTTGATCATTTCTTTACAAAATATTATTGCATTAGCCTTTGATGTTATTTTTGAATAACCCAAAGCGGTAAGTTTTGGTCTTATTGTGCCTCGGCTTTGAGCATCGTCCAAGTCGATTAGGCGTTGAACCAAATCTGTGCACTTTCCTTTGCCCAACCTAACAGTATTACCTTGGATTACACCAGATTATCAAAGTCCCTGAGTTACATTTTAAAATAGTTAAATCGTTTCCAATCAATAGTTCAATAAAGCCTGAAGGAACTAAGTTTTATTTGCATATTAAACTGAATTAAAAAACAATTAACTGTTAATCAATCTGTAAATAGTGATTTAACTACCTTGAGACATTAAAATGGGAGTTTATCTAAGAAAAAGAAACAACAAAATATATTTTTTTTCAACTCTTATCCAAAGCATTGGTTGAACCTGATCAAGGCAAGATGTTTAATCAATGTTTAATTGTAACCATAATAGTGACTTTAATTTCTCCATGGAGAGTGACTGTTGAAGCAATTAACTAGGTTATTAATAATAAATGGGTAAATATCAAATGATTGCTACCTTTTCCAATAATATTTACAAACCATTTATCCTTAAATCAGTTTTATGGATAACATTGAAATGAAAAGGTAAAATTGAATAATTTGAAAATCAAATTGATTGAGATAGACTGCTGGCAACCTTTAGTTAATTTTGTTTCCAATCAAGATAATAATATAAATCAAAATGGAGTGACCGTAGGATGGGCTGTGGTTAGTGTTGGGTGTTATCTGCATGTGAGTCAATGTGTTGATGAAAACTAATTTACAACTCAAAGAATTGATTGACTTTATTCTGGGTTGGAAAGGAAAGTCGCAAGTGACCAAAAAGGTTAATCAAGGATAAATCCAATTCTGATCATTGAATAAGATGAAGTTAATTGAATGATCATTTAAACATTCAGTTATGGTCAGAACAAAATGATATCAACTGTAATTGACTTTCAAATGATACTTTACTGGAAATGAAGTTTACTTACGTTACATCGTCATCCTTAATCCAATTGTTTGCTGGATTTGACGTTGATGATTGAGTTAAATTTAAAATTAATTTCTCACTTGGATCCAATAATTCAAGTCGAAATCCACCCTGAAATCAGAAGTAAACATTAGCATTTATTAATTGAAACTTTTTATCAAAGTTGAGCAACGAACAATCAATCATTATCTTTCTTCATCTATCATCCATATGAATCCAAGATTATGATAAATTAATCAAATGAATTTCATTCTCAACAATTAAGTGTAATTGAGATTGCATGAAGCTCTTTACGTAAAAGTTAACAATATTGTTGTAAAGGTTTAATGTAAGTCTATTGTTAATTGCAAAGTGAAATACAAATTCAGATGTTACACCTTTCATGATGAATCTAATTAAGTGAAAATATTTGCCTTTCGATTGGCCATGAATTGGACTTAAAAATTGATTAACTGTGATTTGATTGATATAATCCTTGAGTCCATTGAAACCATGATTAATCTCAAATTAAACATCATTTCAGATTGATTAACATTTCAATTGATTTTGATGGAGAAAAAATATTTCCAGAAAAAATGAAATGCTGAAAAAGCTAAACCAACACACAAAATCGTGGAAATTTGAATCAACAAATGATTAACTATTAACTATTTATAAATTTAGATTTAAATTGAAACTTTTTTCTCCAATTTTTTGCCCAATTTGAATTTTCAATTTATTTAAAGACTCAATTTAAACGTTGACCAAACCGTTGAGTCAAATGGGTTGTTTGATTGATTTTGAGTTTGGTCTTAATTTTAAAACTGTACAAGTGATTAACCCTGTCATGTTGAGATTTGATTATAATTAGGAAAAAAGCGACTAAAGTTGACCATTTGATTAATCAATTGATCAACACTTTATCATGGTTGGAATTGAGGTCGATTGAATAAAATTGATTGATAAGGTGGCAACTATGACATTTCAATATTCATGTCAACAGAAAAGTTTTTTAATGAATTAATTTGAAAAGCTTAAAAGACGAGAGGAAATATTTCAAACAAAAATGACGTTTAAAAGTTGATCCAATGAAAGTAAATATTTGTTCATTTCATTGAATATTGTATTTATTCAGATGCTATTGCAATATCATCAACAATTGAGCCTAATTGAACATCATTTGATAGACTCGCCTAGATTATTTCAGGCAATGGATCAGGAAATTAGTCAAACAAAGCCATTAACTATTAATAAATTGTGACAAAAGAAATTGAATGTAAATTGAATCACAAAAAAAGGTTGAATCAAATGTAAACTTGAAGTAAAAGTGAAATGGATTTTAGTGAATTTTCCCATTACTGAATCATCATGATCTCATCAAGTTATCAAGAATATTGCAACTCCAAGTCAATCTCGTATCAACAACTAAACTAAGTTACTTGAACATTCGAACTTTTTGTAACCCAAAAATGGCCTTTGCTATTGGTAATGAAGATCAAGATTGGATAACAATGAAGTAAACAAGGCAAATAAAACTGGTAAAGTACACCAGAAAAAAGGTAGAAACCAGATTTTTCACTGTAACTACAATTGAGAGAAAAGAAGAAAAGATGATGATGATGAACTAGGGATGAGAAGGATGATAATGATGGCAAGAGGGAAGACACTAAGCCTAAGGGTAAACCGGATTATCAGCAGGTAAGGCAATGTTAGCCAAAAATGCCAGAGAAGATGAAGGCTGGACGGTAAAAGAGAGACAAAGAAGGTGAAGATGATGTTGAGAGGGAATCTATCATGTTAAATGTGAACAAGTTTTCCTTCGACGACTCTAATTACCGAAGAACCGTGAAATGGTGAGGAGAGAAGAAGAAATGCTAGAAAAAAATGGCTTCTCTCTACCTTTTTACTGATCATCCTTAACATTTACCTGTGTCTCTTGACCTTGTAAATGAAAACAAATCTTGAAGAGGAAAACTTGGGTAAAGATGAGAAAACACTTTTCATTTCATTTGCTGGGCCTTTTGCTTAACATTAGCAATTATTTTGATTCCCTAATTATCATCAACTTTGACGCCTTTAATCGATATCTTTATCGTGATCAGCTAAATTGTTATGTAAATTGTTGGCAAAACATAGTTACAATAAAATGTTAGACAATGGCTTTCAAAGGCAACTTTAAGATACCAGAATTGGCAAAGCTTTTTTCACATCACTTTACCTGGAAAATAATTACCGTTGGAACTGATGAAAACTTGATTTTTAATTAAACCAAGTTATTCGGTAATAACAATTAACAATAGACGAAATGAAAATTTTGATAACATTTCGAGCTTCCAATTGTTTGGAGAAACAAAAAGTGAAAAATTCATGATTTATCTTTCTCATTTTCGTTCTTCTCCAAACTGTAACTGGAAACACGAAAAGCTAAATCACATCAAATACAGTTCACCATGAGATTAAATGATCAACAGTTTACCAAGACTTGAACTCACCTTATGAGGATAGGCCAGATGCCATGTTACATTAAACTGAACTCCAGCAGGTAAAGATGTTCGTTCAATTCCTGAATAAGAAATGAAACAAGATAAATCAGTAAATGAACCAAACACTCAATAGTTAAAATAATGTCTTCTCACAATGTTGACCTTTCGTATTGAACAATTTTACAAAAAAGTGTTGGATAAACACTCGATATGACAGTGTAAATAGCAACCTGAGTAAACTGTTTCAGTTTAATGTAATTTTAATGATCAGTGTAAAGCTGCAGACTTTCAACATTTCTGGTTAAATTTCTGGTCATTTTTATTCACATTGGTTGGAGGTTGGTGAAGCGTTGAACTTGAACTGTTAATTAAACGTTTCAAGATCATTTGATGAGTTTAATTGTTGGCCATTCACGTGAAATGGTTTGTTTAATCAGATATGAAAGGTCAGGAAAATATTGATGTTTGCGTATCTTCATTACAATTAACCATTTGATCAATTGAAAAGTTGTTTACTTTCTTAACAGGCAACAGTTTGCTTATCATGATTAAAATGAATTTTCACTTTTTTAATCATCATCTTGATCGTCATTATTAATTTTACTTTCCTTAACCTTTCAATTTAACAACAGATTCAGATGAACTTTTTCTCGATTCACTTTATTGATAACAACCAAACCAAATTTGTTTATTGTCTTTATTTCATCAACAATCAACTGTCAACCTTATTTAACCTGTTAACTGTTATTAACCTTAATCAAAACCTTTTTTCCCATTGATTAATGAATGAACAAATCAAGAGAAAAGTGAAATTTAAATTTCATTTAAAAATAAAAGCTACAAAAATGAGTCTCGATTATTGAATCAACTCTTGATTGTGCTTTTCAATTCAACGTTTATTTTGATTATTTCAATATTTAAATTGAAGTGAAATTATTTCTCAACTGTTAATGGAGTGAAAATGGGTGAACAATAAGCACACTTTTAATCAGAATTGTTGAGATGAAAAATTTGAACAAAACTAAATTAAATTTTTGATGAAGTGTAGGAAGGCCTGAGAAGTGTTCAATCGCTCAATGATTAAGACAACAAAACCGGAAAGTTGAGTTGAAATTTGGCTAAAAAATGTTAACTGATTGTCAACTTGTAATTGTCAATAGTCGATTGATTAATAAAAGCTAAACAATGGTTCAAGTTAATCAATCATTTATGTCTAATCTGGTATAATTTTCAGCTTTTCTGGTTCTCACAAATTCCAAATTTCATCTAATGTTCATCATGGAAGTCAATGATTAAGGTCAATTGATGATATTTAGTTGGTAAAGAGTTGTTTAATTGTACACAAAAAAACATATCAACTCGTGTTCAGGTAAACATGATTCAGTTGTTTACTATTTTTTTGGATAGAGAAATATTTAAACAAGCTTTTCCTTCAGTTTTGCTTTTGTTGATGATCATGATGGTGATGAAGGTGATGATGTAAAAGGGAAAGTGATGTAATGCAAATTGATCAACATGAATTTTCCATTTAACCGCGAACTTGAGATCAACAGTTGAGAGATACTGTTGTTGTTGTTATCGTAATGATCGTTGATTGTAATGGTGAGCAAAGTGGTAAAATTTCATGTATAAGGCGCGGGAGGCAATTTTGGGTGCAACAACAATCAACCAGAAAGTAACCCATAAGACACACACGCAATAATAACGTTAACAAGTGCATGTTTGACTTTGTTCACTTCTTTTTTGTACACATTTTTCGACTATTTATATACAATTGAGTGTTCGGTTGATTGGTGAACACAGATGATTGAGGAATCAGGATAATTGGTTAGTAGAGAAAAGAGTTAATCATAATTTAGATAGAGAAGTAAATAGCCGCCAAATATTGGTGTATACACAGATGACAAGCTTGTTAGATTGGGTTGAGGGAAAATGTCTGGTTAGGAAAATGAAAGATGATTTGAGAATGGGAAATTGAAAATTTCTAGTTGAATGGTAAAATTGGACAACAATTGTCAACACAATGAAGACGTGATTAGATGATTTCAAAGATTATCTTTGAAATTTGATAAGTGATTAAGTGGTTAACAAAGTAAAACAGGTTGATGAGGGAAGTGAATCCAAGAAGTGCTGTTGTCCGTCTTTAAATAAAACACTTTACACTGATTTTTCATTTTTTTTGGGTCTCAAACATTGGTTTCAATAATAGAACATTAAAATTACCTTTAGGCATCCCACATGGACCTTTGGTTCGTCCATTGTCGAGAAAATCAAAATCATATTTTCTAGCTTTTGGAAAGGACAGGGAAACATGGGAATATACAAAATTACAGGTTGACAAGAGAGCAACACAAATTAGAAATAATAAATTAAATTCCTTGGTTGATAAGGCACACTTTGGAAGAGATAGGATCATTGTTGAACCAAAATTTGGTTAATTAATTGTGAAAATGAATTTAAACTGATAGTAAAATTGTCACTTTAATAGAGGCAAATTGTCTCCACTTGTTTGCACGTTTTGTTTCCCGCTGGTCTGCTTAACGTTATATCCATACAAAAAAAGGGTCACAAAAAACACACAGAGAAAGTTTAAAGCTGGTTAAAAGTTAATTAAAATCATCGTATAAAAACTATGGTCAAGACTGGTAACACTCTGGTAAATCCATTACATTTTAACAGTAGTTAGTTCGAGTGTTAATCTTATATAATAATAAAAAAGTTAATTTACTTAAAAATACTCTGTCCAAGATTGTTTCCTTCAATGAAACCTGCAAGTTTTGTGAGTTAACCAAATCCAGAAAAGTAAGAAAAATTTTCAACTTTCACCAAAAAAAATGCTCCATCTAACGTAAAAGAAAGTAACCAACAAGATAAAGTGTCTCGATCTGTTGGCTGAAAATCACACTTTTCATTTTTAGGTTTGAATGGCTTTTGCCAATAATTACGTTAATGAAGTGCAACTCTTTGATTAATTAATTTAATAGTTTATTTTGTTTCTATTAATGAAATTCATCGATTTGAGAACTTAAAAGATTTCTAATTCAACTTAGTTGGACATTACTTGGGAAGAAATGTGAGGGAAAGGATTCAAACCATATTTAAAGTAAGTACGCGACATTCAATACTTACGCACCTGTTAGTTTTATGCCTCAAAGTGGTAAAGTAAGGGTTAGACAAAATTGGAAATTGCTTTTATTGATTATATTTGTATAATTTTTATTAACATAGTTATTGTTGTTAAAACAGCAAAAGGTTTAAATTTAATCGGTAAATTGTGTTTTACAAATAAATAGTTGAAAGAGACCAGTTTTTTTATATATTTCCTTATTTATATTTTTCCGTGCCATTTCAGGCTTAAGGAGAAGAAGGAAAAAATTGTCAAGTTTATAACATTATATACATTTACAATTGTTAAATCATTAAATTTTAGGCCTTTTTTTAAATTGCATTGTCTTCAAATGGTCTAAACCTAATCGTAATTGTTCATCCTTTTCATTCTTCGTCAGTTTATTACATGGTTTTGTTTCATAATTATATACTATTTATAAAATTGAATGGAGTTAAACTGTGAAAACTATGTTGAGATGAAAACAAAGGAAATCAAAGAAAACAAAAAAGGATGTTTTATAAGATCAAGAATCAATAAGATTTAATATATTAATTAACAAGAAGCATTTACCTTGGGTAAAATTGTCAATTACAATTAGCAGAGAAGAAGCTGTTATAATCAAAGTTAATACTTAAAGATAATTGCTGTTATTATTATGGATGTTAGGATAACTTTAATTAGCTGTTGAGTGAGGAGTAAAAAAAGTGATTTTTTTTGCTTTACGCGTTTCTTTTGTCTTTTTCATTATCTTAACCTAATGTTGAGCATTTAATTAATACAGATTGAGGATTTCATACATAATCATTCAATTTCATCATCTGTAAATTGGAGAATCCCTAACTTTTCATTGTATTAATTAATTGATTAATTAATTAAAATATTGCTTTCTTTTTCTTTTCTTTAAACAATTAGATGTGGAGCCGAGGAGAGACAGATAACGGTCGATATGATGGTAAATGCTGTAAAAACAATTAAACATAACCTATCCATAACCATTCCAGCAAATTTCCAGTCCTGAATAATATCTTGAATTTCATCTTCTTTCCTTATTCGATTGGTTATGAATCTCAACTCTTTGAGTATTGCACTTATATCACTTGATTGAGTTAAACTGTGAGTTGCAGACGATGAACCTGGACAATAGGAATGATTGACTGTTGATCCTGGTAAACCTGATGTTCCAGTTGTCCATGGATGAGCTGAGGCTGAGGCCGATGAATGAATTGGCTGATGAAGGGGAATCCGTGAAGGATTCGCAACCGGCACAATTGGATCAATTTCATCACAGCAACCAGATGGAGATAAATTTGAGGGCACATTTGGTCCACCACCGGCTGATGAAGGATTCAACTGGACTGAAGATGGTGGTGCATGTGACGGTGTGTGAGGGAAAACTTGATGAATATGGTTATGAGATTGATGGTGATGATGATGAGCAGTTAAATGGTGATTGTGATGATTATGGTGAGTTTGATGATGGTGACTTGATGAGTTTGTCAAGTTAAACTGTGAACAATAAGAACATCCAGAATTGGTTGCATTGTTGGCATGATTGTTGGCTGAGCTTCGAAGGCTATTCAATTGTAAATAATCGTCCTCGTAATCAATTGCCGTTGAATTAATACCATCAATTGGATAGTCTTTACCCTGATGAGAATGTATTTTAAGGTTAACTAAATCTTCCTTCATTGGTAGTAAAGGTGATGCCTTTGGATTTGAACTTGGCGAGGCTTGCTTTTTTGGTGGACTGATATCCCCTGGACGTCTCATGCGAAGAATCCATGCCAACCATGTGAGGACAAGTAAACGAACCTAGCAAATGGCAATAAAACAGATCACAATTATTTGGTTATTCAAAGACTAAAGTTCCATTCTACAAAGTATTTTGAGGCTTTTCCAGCAGTGACTTTTTAATTTCAAGATTGTAAGGAAAATCAAGAAAGAAACAACAAAAGCCGGAATTTTTTCAGAAGCTTATTCCTGGAATGGAAATAAAACAGAGGAAAAGTGATGAAGAAGGCAATTCACAAGAATAATTTTCTGAATTTGGTTTTCCTTTGATTTAGATGTTCTGTTTTCGATTAAGTATAAACTCTGTTTTCAAAACAACGAGCAAGAACAATAAGAATTATTTAATGTCTTGTATTTCAATAAGAAAACATTATTGTTTCTTTCATTATAAATTGGTTGAAATTAGTAAATTTTCTTGCAGAAAAATATTTATAGCACAATTATTTCTCAAACCTGAGCAAACCCTGAATTTGAGCATCATTAATGTTCACTATTTTAAAATATCAATCATGATTTAACTTTATATGTTGAACTAACAGTTATTCAAGATGCGAAGTGGAAGTTTTGTGTTAAATGTGTAACTAGGAAAAGAAATGAAAAAATGGAATTATTTTCAGTATTCAATAATCGATAATCTCAAGCAATCTTGAATCCAAGTTGACACTTTTGGTCAAGATGAGCCTGTTTAACCGATTCTGAGAAAAGAAATCCAAATTTAAAACTTTCCATGAAAACTTTTTAAACTTTTCTAATTATCGATCGAAATTCAATTTTTTCTTCAAAATCAATTGGAAGTACGGAAAGTCTGTCTTTCCTCTCATCTCCTATTGTCTATAATTGACTATTGACTATAATTTTCATCTCAATATCCATTGATCTTTTTCCCATCGGTTACTGAAACCAATCAAAGATGAAGCTCAAAAGATGTAACAAGACCAAATAAGCCCAAGATGTTGACCAGATTGGAGAGAGTCAAATTGATAGCAAAAAGAAGCTTAAAAACCTCAACTTACCCATTTATTCATTTCATTTGATTCTTGAGTTTTATGATGAAAATTGAGCACCACAACAGTCATTACAACTGAACAGGCAACGACCATCATTATACAGGCAAAATAGGTTCCTGTGAAGAAACAATTAAAGAAAATAAAAAAATTAAATTTTCACAGTTTCAATCAAAGATCCAACAAGCAAAGGTGCAAACACTGTTGAGAGTAAAACGTGAAGAGTAAGCCATTTGAGAGGAAAGTCAAGGGTTAAACAGTTTCATTATTGTAATGAAGCATGTTAATTGTAAATCAGTTGATCGATTAGATGGGAAAGTAATTAAAAAAATGAAATTTACCAATAATTGAAACAGATTCTGATGTGGGTGGAAGTATATCCGTTAATTGAAGCATAAAAACAGACATTGAAAGCAAAATGGTAACTCCAAGAGTAAGCTTTTCACCCGATTCTGGAGGCAAAGTGAAACCCAATAAAACCATTGAGGATATTATCATACAAGGTACAATTAAATTAAAACCATAGTAAAGAGTTCGTCGTCGTATCAAAATAGTGTATGTTAAGTCGATGTATTGCGAAGGACAACAGGCATAAGTTACATTATTGCGAACACCAGGCATTCCTAATTAGAAGGTAAATCGAGCAAATTAAAGTTAAGAATATTTTACCAGAAAAAGAAGACATTTTATCGATTTAAGCAGAGACTTGAATGAATTTGAAATTGACTTGAGAATAAAATCTCGTCGAAAATTAGGTTTTTCATTTCAACAGTCAATTCATTGAAAATGTGATTCTAAAGATAATTAGCATTGATTTGTATTGAATAAATAAACTTACCTAAAAGTATCCATTCACCATTAACTATGTAAGTTGAAAGGTCACCACCTTGTTCATCCATTAACCTTAAGTCTAATGAATCACCTTGGTATGACCATGAGCCAAACTTCATTTTACATTGTTGATCATCAAATGGAAACCAAGTAATGTCTATTTTACAGGTACTTCGATAGATACCTGGAGGTAGCCAGGCACATGAACCATTTTGACGAACCTCAACATTGGCAGGATACGAAGAGTCAATCCTTTCATCAGCACTTCAAAAAGAAAAGCGTAAAAAGAATAAAGAAAATGAATAAAATCAAAATTTCCAGTAAAATCGTAAAATCTCTTTACCTATTGTATAAAAGTATATCTGGTTTCCATACTTTGGCTGCAGCTAAACGTATGTCACTGACTCCGCCATATTCAGATACATTCCAACGAAGATTCGCGTCAATCCATTCCTGAAATCGAACCCGAAAACAATATAAAAACTCAAGTTGTAACAATTGTCAATTGAACAAAAGATGACTTCGAATTTCCTTTTAACTCCAAAAATCGCAAACTTTATTTTCTATTATCTTTACAAACAAAAGCACGATCATGACTGAACTCAAATAAAGTGACTCCTGATTAGATTAGAGATTTTAAGACAATTTGTTTGGAAATATGATTTAGAAAATTTGTAAATAGAAAAATGGAAATCGAAAGAAATCTTTTTCCATTTCTAAGTCACTGTCTCATCTCTTAGCTTTCTGGCATTTCCAACCTTTTTAATATAAATTTCAATCTAAAGTTGATCAACTCTTTCTGAGAAACTAAATGAAACTTCAATGAAAAGGATTGAGTTTAAAAGAGTCTCAAAAGTGATTAGCAAACTTTTCATTGAAGCGCATTCAGTCATTTGGGATTCTCGATGTTTGCAGATCATTTTTTTGTGAGTAAACTTTTTCTTCTAAAGCTTCTTTTGACACACAATTTATCATAATTTGTCTGATCCATTCAGAATCCTTGCCTCATGAGAAATTTGGAATAAACTGAGACAGAATTTAAAGTCCTTTTGGTTTGAGAAAACTGGTTCAAGTTTAGGTTTTCGAGTTTTCCTTTGTTCTATTGGAAGGATGGTCAAACATTAAATGCTACTCACCATATTAATCATTATATTGGTAACAATTAGTTGATTCTTTTCATCCTGTAAAGGAAATAAAGAAACAAATCAGATCATTTAATTGAGACAACTTTCGATGGATATTCGTTGAGCATCTCCAATCATCAGATTTAATGAGATAATGTTGCTTGATCAACTTGCTTTAGACTGTTCAGTTTGTATGCTTTAAATGAATGAATGTCCACTCAAAATCAACATTTAACTTTAACCTTGTTTAGAGTTGCTTCTAGTTGATCAATGATAATTAAATTAGGAAATAATGTTGGTAAGGTAATTAAGGGAAAAGTTTCGAGTTGGAAAGTAATAAAGTTATTCTTACAACGTCAATAATTTGTTGTAAAGTAAGGCCAAAACTGACAAAAACAGGCTCAGATTCATTGAGAACTGGCCTTTCCATTGGATTATAATGTTCCATTAAATCATTTAATAGTTTTCTTTCATGGATTCCTTGTTGTGTTCCTATGATTATCCAGTTTATAACAGGGAATATCAGCAATCATTATTTTTCAATATTTAATCGATACACCAAAATGAACAGCAAATAAAGGTTAATTGGCGGTCAAAGTGATCACACATTCAATCCAAGAAGATATAATTTACAAGATGAAACAATCCAACAAGAATAATCACAAGAATCCAAGATGAAGATGATAGCAAATGGTGAAGAGAAGAAAAAATAAACTCAGAATTAATATCAAATTGTATTTAAAGGTTAAAGAAGAAAGTGATTCATAACAACTAATGCTATCCATTTGATGATATAATCACAATCATTTCGACTTCCAGCTCTGAATGAACCAAAAGACAGCAACTTGTCATTATTTTCAACTTGAATCAACTTTTAACTTTCAAGTCCATTTAAAGGCTCAAATGGTGTCAACTAAATGGTTTCAATTTGATCGCATTCTGAAACTGTTCAGTCATTTCTTGAGTTTCATTGTATTCATTTTGATAAATGATATTCATCAAAACTTTCAATTTTTGAAGGCGACTATTGTTTTACAGTTTATGCAAATATGCTGATATGAGTTTGGCTCGAGCTTAATATCAATCTCTCGATCTTTTGTATTTCAGGAATTGTTGGAAACATTTCATTGCTGAATCAAAGTGAAAAGAAATAATTGTTTTGTTTCAATCAGAATTATCTTGGAAGGTTCAGGCATTGAAAATGGTCAAGTGGTTGGATCTTTAATGCAAAACTTTGATATTCAAAAGAATCTTTTGTATCAGAAAATATTAAAAAGAAATTTAATCAAAACTCTTTATTTGACATTCATTCTGATCAGAGTTCTGATCTATTCTAATGTAACTGTACAGAGCAATATGTCAACTTTTTGTAAGGTTTTGTCATCTTGAATCATTTCTTTTTTTTCGATGTCTTTTAACTCGATTTGCTTCAAATGTACAAATCAATATGCTTTAAATCTCTTGATTCTGCCACGAACTGTTCAAACAAGTTGAACATTCAACTCAATATCTGTTGTTCCCATCATCCAAATTATCATTCACAAAAGAGTCACCAATTTTATGCATTCACAAAGCATCATGGAAGAAAATATTTCAATATAAAAACTGGTGAACAAAAAAACTTAACAGTTGAAGCCATTTGAAATGAAAAAAATGATGAGAAATGAACTTTAAACTTTGGGTTTAAAATTTTATCGAAAGAAAGCGAAAACTTTTGAAATCAAAATCCTGCAACACAATCCAAGTTGATCCATTCACGAGAGCGAAACATGATTTGACTTAACACATCGTTTACCTAAAAATTGACACAATCTGAATACACAGTTCATGTCGAGTCAATAATCAAAGGCATGCATGAATGCTTAATGATTGTGAATATGTTTATTAATATATCATGTGTTATCAGCCTGTTTGTTGTTCAATTAGTTGATTAATTAAAATAACATAACAGCAAGAAACAACAAAATGAACCACAGGACAGAGAAGGCAAAAAGTCATGAAAGGTTAAAGACTAAACAGAATGTTGAAAGGATTGATTAAAACATGGCCAAAGAGATTAACTTTTCAATTAATTTTGGCGCAATTCATTGTGATGTTGTCATTATCACGACATTTTGTTTACCATTCAATTTAATTAATTATCATTTTAAATGCATTCATGTAACCCATAAAAGATATACAATTTGATAAAGTACAGGTATGAGGTTAATCAGTAAATAGTCTACAGTCTATTATGTTATAGTTAAACAACTGAATCTCCAAGTTATGAGATCTAAACTTCAGGGGAAAAGTCTGGGTGTTTTATCTCATAAATTTGATACATGGACCCGAAACTCAATGTGCCCCATTGGCAGAATGGGAGATTCAATCAAGTGAGTAGTATAGAAACATACGCTTCTGTGGCACAGACCGGAAATGGAAACTACTTCCGGTTCATTAACCCCACTGAACACCATCTTTTAACGTCTTAATTTCACCTTGAATTCTAGTTCATTAACACCATTTACAACGACTTATCTTTCAACGGTTTAACGACTTAGCATCGAATTAACGCGAGGGCTCGAGCTGAACTTCCGTTTTCACATTATGTCTAAGTTGTAGTATAAAATTGTTGGCTACAGCACATTGTGCCTGCAATCCTGTCTGCATTGCAATATCAAAAAAATTAAATCAGCTCACTTAAATTGAGTTTACTTTGAAGTTATTTCAGTTTGAAAATTATTTGAGTAGTTTTAATCAGTTTTTCCTACGAATAATTAACTAAAACGATGGAAGTTTCTAGTGATAAGTTTGAGATGGATGGAGATGCTTATTTATATTGGGATTTTTCAAAAGTTTCGACGAGCGGTAGCCCCATAGATATCAACAAAATTTCTGCTAAAATCGACGAGATAAACGACTATGTGGATGAGTATTTGTATAATGATAGTGAATGGAATGGTTCAGTGCCCGGATATGTACCATTTGCATTTGATTTAATTCCATTTTTTGCCCAGCGGTTGCAAAAAGGAGCTGATTTTAATAGAATTTTTGGTCCAAACTGCTGCGGAATCTTCCCTGGAATATGAATGCTAATCTTTGTGTTTTCTTTTCAGAATAGATATTTTGAATTTGCAATTAACGAGTAAGTTTTCTATTTCCACAAAGTGCATTGCCAGTAGTTTCATACTATATGTCTATTTTAACTTTGAAGATTAATCTCTTGCTAAATCCGACTATGTCAAATTTTGAACTAAAACCAATTGTGATTGAAAGATTTGATGCCTTAAATTTTGTCAGACGACACATTCTAATTCGTTCTAATTCATTACTTCAACTAATTGGAGTCACGGGACTGATGAGTTTTATTATTTCACTTTGTTTGCTTATTGGTTGGAAAATTAGAAATCGGAGAACAACTTATGTTCAACCTAATAGAAAAACGCAAAACTTTGTTGGCCTGGTGACGAGAGGAACCATTATTAAAGCCAAAAATCCGAAGAGCTACAACGTTGATCACCTTCATTAATCCAAAATCTTCGTCTTCTTTAAATATTTTACAGAATACTCGGTCAAAATAGATCCAGTCTGGCTAACTGGAGGCATGTTAAGAAATATGCTGAGAAAAAAATTAAGTTTTATAATGATCAACTTGAATATGAAGAATTCCCACTCGCAAGGCGTGTATGATATCGTAACATGCTGTATCTAGCTGTACTGAAACTAATGTTGGAAGCTGCCATCACTTATAGAAAATTATATTTCAATAAATTACATGGACACGGTAGAACAAGGAGATTCCAGGCACTTGTTGGAGACATGTTTGTCGCCCTTGAGCAGATAGAAAGATACATAGATTGCAACAATTCAACTTTCTTCTACGCCATCATACGTAGAGAATATATAGAAGAGTTCAACACCTTTGTTCAATTCTAATTAATTAAATTATTCTTGCTTACTTTTTCGAAAGTAGGATATAGATGAATTCAGAAATTATGAAAATGACCCTAACTTAGCTAATCAACCCTTAGAAATCATTAATTGTAATGGTTCTTATATATGTTGTAAATGGAGACCATTTAGTTAAAATTAAAATTATTTAAATTAAAAAGTATTTCAGATGATAAAGTAAAAGGGGCAATTTCGTGTTGCACCCCAATGGCAAAAACCAACAAAGATTCCTCACGAATGAAGCTTTACAACTGGTGAAAGACAATGAAAAGATTGCTGTATTTATATCAAAAATGGGATGATTGGAAAATAGAGTGTTTGTGCAGCAAACAACTTGAAACAACATTATCAATCCATTTTCATTTTTCTGCAATCTAAGCTAGGTATTGTGCTGGAGTCACGAAAGTTGAAATTTATGTCCATTTAACAACGGTTTGTTTTGTTTTTGTATTATCCTTATATAAAAATATATATACGAAGATTAACTTTGTGATAATAAAAAACAATAGTAATTATGTGTGTTTGTGTAAATATGAATCATTTATTTTAGTTGATAAAATGATTAATTTAGAAGTTACAGATAAACTTTATTTGGTTATAACATTTGATACAACATACCTTCATTAATAATGATGTAAGAAATGACATTGATGCACATTGGCCGGGCTGATGAATATTTTGATATATTTCCAAGAGGAAAAGTTATCCTTGTCAATATGTATTCTATTCCAAAGTCGGCAACTTTCATCATCGTACAAATTATATATTGAACGTCTATGAAAACTAATTTTTAATCGAATAGAATCGCAAATTTGACAGTCACATCTCAAACTTATGATGTATACGGACCAATATCCAGAAGGCATTTTACACGTTCCATCCGGGTAATGTACAGCACAAGCAGGAGTGATCCAGGGTCGGTTTACTTTTATTATTTTACCTGTTTCATGGTTAAGACCCATAGTCGTTTGCGAACATTGATTAAAACTTAATAGATATAAATTTTCGGCAATCCAATCCTCCAAATCCATGTCATCCTCAAATTTTACTTTTAAATTAATTAAGAACACGTTAAAGTTTTTACAATCTATCATTAAAGTGTCATGATATTGAAAACGAGTGAATTTGTACAGGTCGTTTTTAGAATAACTAGCTTCCAGCTTTGAAATGTTATCAAATGTAGAATCGTTGACAATTATTTTCAGATTAAAAGTTGCACATTTGTCAATACGCAATTTGCTGTTCATCATCCAGACTAGATCGCCAGTTAGGAACCAAGGATTTCCTTGTAACACGGATCCAAGTTGATTGTTGACTGTGTTCAGTCGATCGTTAAAGTATCGGGAAAACAATCATTTTATCCAAAAAAGTGGAGTATAACGTTTTTTTTTTGATATAATATTGTATCATAAAAAACTGTTTAGAAACTTTAGCAACTCTATCCAAATCAAACTTTGAATTGATAGCATAGTCACTATTTGAGACAGTATTTCGTTAGGCAAATCAGTAATATTAACCATTTTAACAAGTGTAAAGTTAACGTTTGAATGGTTTAATATGAA